ACACACACACACACACACACACACACACAGAGAGAGAGAGAGAGAGAGAGAGAGAGAGAGAGAGAGAGAGAGAGAGAGAGAGAGAGAGATTGAGATTATCAAAATAACATAGTTTGATTTTCCCCATATCAAAGTTAATATCACAACCTCATTTCTGGTAACATGAAAAAATTTGCCACTTAAACAAGACCAAAGGGGGCCTTTGGACAAAAGGTGCATTTGTGTTGGTGTGCTCAAAGAGCGATAGATCTTGAAAGTCTGTGTAGAAAGAACATACAATCAAGGGGGGGAAATGGCAAGATTGATGATGATCAGTTTTCCCCCCAGATTCTTTAACTTTCTAACTATCTTAGATCCTAGAGATTTGGAGGACATTTGTGGTTTGGCAAACTACTCGGACAATGCCAGATGGGATCAGAAGAATCCGTGGCACGTGCGTCTCCAAAACCCAGTGAGTACAGACTATTCTTCTACACCTATGGGTCGCGACCCCATTTGGGGTCGATTGACCATTTCACGGGGGTCGCCAAGCAAGGCTGTCTACCATTTTTTTCCCCTTATCCGGCGGGTGCCTTACCTCCCTTGGGCTGGGCCAGCTGGTGGTCGGCCTGCTCCGTCTCTGCCGCTTGCCAGCTACGCCTCGGCCGGCACAGGGGGCGGAACCACGCATGCGCGGCGCTCCCGGGCAGGGAAAGTCCTCGACTTACGACCGGTTGGGTAGTCCTCGACTTACAACCGGTTTAGTCCTCGACTTACGACCGGTTTAGTCCTCGACTTACGACCGGTTGGGGGGGTCGCGGCATTAAAAAGGTTGAGAACCACTGTTCTACACCATCACCCACCCAAGTCTCTGTGGTCTCTTTCCTCTTCCCAGATTTCTGTAGGGGCTAACAGGAATGTGGGCCCCACCTGCAATTAACTTGTTTTATCCCTGATATTTGGTCCCGTTGAATGGTTAAAGGATGGGAATCTGGAGAGCCCCTCAGTCGAGGAAGGATGACCTAGAACAGCGGCCCCCAATCTTTCCAGCTTGGTGGCCCAGCCTGGGGGGGGCGGGCGAGTGAGTGGCAGACTCATGTACGTGTGCACAGCTCCATTTGTGCGAGCGGTGCAGGTGCACACCCTCCACTCATGTGAAAGTGCCTGTTGCTCACTCACAAAGCTCCACTCGTGTGAGCAGAAGGTGCTCATGCACGGAGCTCCATTCGTGCGAGTTCAAGCTCCCTCTGCTCACGTGAGTGGAGCTTTGTGCCAAGTGCTTGCCATTTCTCCTTTGGCCCGGTTTTGAACAGATCGTGGCCCGGTAGTGGGCCGCAGCCCGGGGGTTGGGGACCGCTAACCTAGAACATAATTCTGGGGCGTTAACCGTATGTTGAATTTAAATTTTGCTCTAGCATCATATGGATTCTACTTGCCGAGGTGCCTTGATTTCCAGTACCTGGGTTCTAACAGCTGCTCACTGCTTCAACCACTTGAAAAATACGTCTAATTGGATTGTGGTTCTAGGTAAGATGCTACATTTTTTTAAAAAAAGCATGCATTCTATCGTGGTTCTAGCATAGTTGTGTGGTCTTCCCTTCTTCAGTGATTCTGAGGCATTGTTTTCCTGCATTTAGTCGGGGGATAGAATTTCAGAAAAATCCATTCCAGTATGAAATGCTAGATTCATGTGTAAGTGACAGAGGAAAATATAGCAATAGCCCGCAGTGCTTTCCCCCCCTCCCCTCCAGGAGCATGGCAGAACCCAGAAGTATAGAGAGAACAGAGTTTGGGTTTAAAGGAAGAAAGGGGTCCCCTTAGAATATGGGTTCTGACAATTGGGTCCCCTTAGAATATGGGTTCTGACAATATGGGTTCTGACAATTATAGCTGGATCGCTTGTGGTAGCCAGTGTTAAAGTAAGTTCCAATTGCCAATCTGGTTGGCTTCTATAAAGTAAGTGAAATAAGACACTATGTATTGTCTGTTTTTTCCAGGCAGCAAAATATCATAGTTCCACTGAACTATCAGTGTATAGACCAGGGGTAGGCAACCTTGGCTCTTTTATGACTTGTGGACTTCAACTCCCAGAATTCCTGAGCCAGCCATGCTGAGGGAAAAGGGAGAGAAAACATCATGTCAGCCCTCTGAAGTAGGCCAGGTCAGGAAAAAAGATCCCCAAGACATACTACAATTTTCTAGGCCAGTGTTTCTCAGCCTAGCAGGCTTAATAGGTGTGAACTTCAATTCCCAGAATTCTCCAGCCAGCATGCCGGAGTCTACACCTCTTAAACTTGTTGAGGTTGAGAAACACACGATCTAGGCTATCAATCACAGAATCTTGAAACCTGCCAGTGTTTCTCCTTTCTTTCCTCTTATACCAGGGGTAGGCAACCTTGGCTCTTTTATGACTCGTGGACTTCAACTCCCAGAATTCCTGAGCCAGCCATGCTGAGGGGAAAGGGAGAGGTTTCCAAGCTGAGCCATGCTGGCTCAGGAATTCTGGGAGTTGAAGTCCACGAGTCATAAAAGAGCCAAGGTTGCCTACCCCTGGTATAGACACAATAGTGGATTTGCTATTAGTTTTTAGGGATTTAAAAAACACAGCCCATGCATCGCATGCATCATATTCAGCCTTCCATTCCTATACAGGTAGTCCTCAATTGAGCCCAAAATTTTTGTTGCTAAGCGACACAGTTGTTAAGTTACCCCCAGAGATCCGGGTGATTCCGGATCTCCCCTCCTTCCGCCGCGCCCTCAAGACATGGCTATTTAAGTTAGCAGGACTGGCCTAAGGGTTATTTTAATTTGGTTTAAAAGAAATTTTTTGAATTTTCGGCCTTAGAATAATATTTCATTTTAATTAATATTTTAAATTTTGTATTTCTGTATTCAAGTATTTGTT